TAAACATCTTTTATAAATAAATTTCGTGTGAAACACCTTTTGTAAATTAATTTTTGAGATACCCTGAATATAAAGAGAATTTTTGTTACAATTAACATGTTTGTACTCGTTTAAATTCTTAGTAGGAAAATATAATATCTTATTTGTGACAGGACTTCATCTTCACTTACACTTTTTTGATAATCAATGTATCCTAGTCAGTTCTAGATGTTTTTCATTATAAGCCAGTTTCCACTGTTTTTCTCTAGTTTTACTGTAATGCTCTTTCAGTTTTTTTAACTAACCCTATAACATATTCTGCATAATATTTTTAATAAATATTTATTATTGTAAACGAAATCCAATCGACAACAATTTATCGATCAGTTTTATTAAAGTGACGTCAATCGGAGCAAAGAAGATTCATCTAATGAAATCGGGCTTAGACCAGTTTTGATTGTGCAATTTTACAAAAAGGATGTAGGTATTGCTACGTTTTATAAACGCCTTTCTGGTTTATAAAAAAATAATATTTATATATAGTGTACAATTTATTTGCATTTAGATCAATGCCTAAAAGTTTACTGAGTGTATCGTGATAACAGTTTAAAAATATTAAGACAATCTCAGAACAATTTACATCCAAATATATGGTAAAGGTAATGATATGGTTTAGATAATAATCATAATGGTATCGTTTGATTTTTATATAATTGAAGATCATTCTTTTGTGTCTATAGTTTTTAGTGGTTACACTACATAAATAATTTGTGCAGTTTTTTATATTTATGTGTCCGAAAAATTGAATTGTTTATGGTTTGGTTTTCTACTTAGCTTCTTTTTCTTCTGTTGATTCTCTATTGGAGATTCTTTGTGCTTCCTATCCTTAGTTCACAATTTGTTTTTATTATAGTATTTACTATAGTGTTTACATTATTTAACATTTACATTTTTTCCATTTTATTTGGAATTATATCTTTATCCTGTGTCAATAACCTGTCTGATTTTATCCAAGAAAAATGACCTTGATTTACTACGTGTTATATATTTTTTTTTTACTTTTAAAGGCATTTTCTAGCGTTTCTACCATTCGTATCATTCTTGTGTTCATAGTATCATCTTTATGAGAATCAGCCAAATGTTGTTTATCATGTAAGTTTCTTCTTCATAAGAAACTGGTAGGCAACATCAAAATACAGGGTTAGAAATATCTATAGAAAGGTTGGTATGAGCTCTTCACTCCGGGCTCGTATTTTAGCTATATAATCAGAATATTTTTAACCAGAAACCAAGGTGATTCAATTTTCTTCTTCTTCGTCGTCTTTCTTAATAGACATATTCAATCTTTAATATCTTTCTAAACAGTAATTCTAGTTTTTTTAGGTCGACCAATGCTTCTGCGTCGTACTGAAGATTTATCTGTCTGGCAATTAAGTTCCGAGACTCTCAGTATACCATTTTTTACTTAGCATTGTTTTATAACCACTTTTCATCTTCAATATACTCTCCTTTCGCATCTCTACACCGCACCATGCGAACCTTCCGCTATGTGAAGCAGTCCTGCCGATTATCTTCTAACATGCTGTGAGCAGCTTTTTGTCTTACGCCCTCTAATGACTTACTATAAAGGGTTATGTTCAAGCAGGTTTCGTTTGTTGGGAATAGCTAGGGGTCGCTGGTGGCTAAATCTGGTGAATAGGGCGGGCGCTTCATAACTGTGGCCTGATTTTTGGTCAAATCAAATAGTCCTTAACAGAGTGGTGTGTTTGGAATTACCTACTGTATGGATTGTTGTTACCCTTGACAAGAAGTCATTAGTCCTTTTCTGTGCATTCCAAGATATCAGACAAATGTCTTTATGGTACATCTTATATTTCTTCGTAAGGGTTTTGACACAAACTTAGCACACACTTTCCTCTTGTTTATTTCCTAATGTAAAATTTGCCTTATGGTTTCTTTATTAAACGTCTTAAACGTTGGTCTCACTCAAAAACTCTGATAAGAGATAGGCAATCATCCCCGCAAACCCTTTCTCAGAGTAAAAGGGCTCTGCCGAAACAACTGCAGTGAAAATAAATTGTAACAAATTTTCTGGAAGTGTAGAAAATAAAGTTTTCAGTGCTCTATTCTCAGATTAAATTAACTTTCATCAAGTAACTTTAGCGGACATAGCAAACATTGTAAAGTTGTGCATTTTTTGTGAGTATGTACACTCCTTTTACCCTTTTTGACTCGGCTTCTAGACTTACCCTTTTCTGGTTTAATGTTTTATATTTGTCTGTTTTTGTTTTATTCTTTCGTGAGCTTGATAATGGGCACCGATACATATCAACCTTAGTATTTTCGGATTGTATCTTTTGTTTTTTATCCTTTATTTGAACAGTAGGAATCTTTAAATATTCCTATTCGAATATTTGTAGAACTCAGTGAAAACGCGCCATCGGTTTCTATTTTGTGCTAAGGCCTTCATCTCATTTCAAGACTTTCCTTGACTTCTTATCTCGTCCATGATGGATCTTCCCCAAGTTTGTACTGGGCGATCTCCTTTTTAGTGCAATCTTTGCAATACTGGAATTATGTACAATGGAATGTTTATGTAAGTAGTGAAAAGACAGCAAATATTTGATTTCACGCAAAAATCGGCTTTGTATCTGTTGATACGTATTTCGACCTAATAGGTCTCGTCAGAACAGTTATATCAAAGGTGTTCTGTGTTTGTGTTTCGAAACTAATTTTACGGTTTATGTAAGTGGTTTGACCAATCCAACCCTCACTTTCTGGAACTTTATTTGATGTTTCTGGCCCTTTTTGGTTCGTCAGGTGTAGTAGATCTTCGTTTCTGATGATGTTAAGTCAGAAAATACCAAACAATTAGTCGTAGACATTTCTTAATAAAGACCAGCAGTTTATCTGTAAGGGTTTTGTCGCTTATACAGGTTTCACATCCGTTGAGTAGAACAGACATGACATTTGTCTGGAATATGGGGATCTTTGTCCTTGTAGTATACTCGCTAGATCTCCAAACAGGATTGAGCAATGCTTGTTGAACTTTTCGTATCCTCATACGAATATCGTCCTATTTGTACCTCTGCTTTCTGTGATGCCACTTTTAAGATACGTAAACTTTTCCTAAGTTTTAATCAGCACTAATCTTGATAGTATAATAGCGTGTTGTTTCTTACATATTACTCTCATGGATTTGGTTTTACTAATCTTGATTTTCAAATCTACTTTGACCTCTCAAAGTGTTTCCAATGATAAGCCACATCTTGGAACCTTTGTCCTAACAGGCAGATATTGTTGGCGAATTCCAGATCGCTTAGGCATGTGGCTAATGTCCACGGTATCTTTCTGTGTCGGAGTCTGGTTTGAAGAGAAACGTAGTCTACTGCTATGTTAAAAAGAAACGGAGAAAGCACGCATCCCTGTCTGACTTCAGTATGTATGTCAAATTCGTCGCTGTTTGATTCCATTGTGTGTCACGCTGCATTTCGCCTTAGTATACAGCGACTTTATAATGGAAATTATTTTATACAAGATGTTTCTTAGCTGTAAAATTTTTCATAAAGCATCATGAGATAAGCTGTCAAAGACACGCTTGAAGTCAACACAAACCAGGTATAGGGGTGTGTTCCATTCAACCGATTGTTTTATTATTACCCTGACAGTATTAATGTGGTCTATGCAGGAGAATTCTGGTCTAAAGGCTGCTTGACCAGCTAGAGATTCAAACTTGTTTGTTAAATCTTTTAAGTATGATGGTCGTGAAGATTTTATTTATTGCGGTAAGCAAGGTTACTCCTCTCAAATTTTTGCACAGTGTGAGGTTACCCGTTTTTGGAAGCTTAATAATGTTACCCCTTTTCCAGCCCGCTGGAATGCAGTTTGTTTCCCACACATCTCGGATTATGGGGAGCAAAAATTCAGCAGTTAAATGCGGATCAGTTTTAAGCATTTCTGTTGTTTCATGTTCTGTATAACTGTTGTTTCATATTCTTGTTGTCGGTTCGCTCTTTCTCCTACAGTTCTTATTGCAAAATATCTTTATTTTGCTGTTTTCTTTTCTCGACAAGATTCCAAGTTTCTCTTTTTTACCCAGTTTATCTTCAGCTATTTCTGTCAAAACATCTGCCAAATCTTCCTAGCTATTTACATTACGTTCTCTTGTTTTGATTTGGAGTTCTTCCCTAAACATGTGTCGTCCTGGAGCTGTCTTTAATTTATCTAGATTGAATGTTGGTCTGTTAGTGTTTCGCGTTATTTTGCTTTTTTGCCATCTTGATTTTAATGCGAGATGCGAGATGATGTCATCACTTACGTACATCAAGAAAAGATGATCTCCATCCTTTTGATATGGCGATGTGGTCTTTTTGATTTTCTCTTATATGACCTGGTGTAGCCCACGTAACCTTATGGATATTTTCATTAAAATCCTCTCCCGTTTTCATTCATCACTCCCAGACCATGTTTGCCCTTTATTGTTTTTAAGTTAATATTGTCTTCTCCAACTTTAGCAGTCATATCGCCCATCACTATTAGTATATCGCCTTGATTTAGTTGTTGGGTTGTTTGTTCTAGTTTTTCGTTGAGATATGTTCGTGGGATCTTAGCACTGAATCACTCTTGTCTTGCGGTATCTGGTATAAAATCTGACAGTCCTAATTCTACCAGTAATAGATTTCCATGAAAGAAAGGCTTGTTTGCTTAGTAAAAAACGTATATCTAATACTTATATTTTATAGAGATTCTAACTGATTAACACGGTACATGGAGTATACTGTTTAGGCATTTTTTTTTAATTCCATAAAACATATAAAAGATCTAAAATTATCAATTTTAAATAAATGTATTTTCGTCCAAATTTTAATTTACTTTAAGTAGCGCATAATATTTAACAACATACTGTAGCTTATTAGACATTCTTAGGCATGATAATTAACTAGAACTAATAGATTCTTTTTTATTTTGGTTTTGCATAATTTCCCGTAGTTGAAGTACTACGTTTGGTTTTTTTGTTTTAGGACTGATAGTGCTAACACTAACACAAACAGAAAAATGCCCTCTTCCGGATTAGCTGAAGAGGCGGCCCTTTTGGGGTAAGAAACACTGGACACATCAGCTTGAACAGTTGTTATTTAGTTAGATGATTAAGACAGGTTTTTGGCAAATCATAAATAGATTTATAGATATTAAAATATAATAAAATAAAACAAACGAAACAATAAAGTGTAAAACTTTTATTGTAATTGGTATTATTTAGAAAATTATGGAAATATCCAAAAGAATTAAAAATTCTCAAAACATTTTCAGTCTCATCAGAACATCGTGAGTGATATCTGAAAATGAGTAATTTCACTTTAATCTAAAGAATAAAAGGGATAATATGTTGTCTGCTATTTATAATAAAACACATTTAATATAATTACTTGAAGCATTTGCAAAAAGCCACTTCCAAAATGGTATAAAAACCATATTGTGGTATTAAAACCTGTGGTATTAATATATAAAATATTATATAAATTAAAATTAAAGCGACATAATGCCGATGATTAAAAGATTTATTCAAAGGGGAATATATTGACTCTTACTCGAAATGGCAACAGTACGTTCCCTTTTGGACAAATCTGTAATCATTTATACAAAGGCAAAGGCCTTTATACTGTTTTGGAAGTGGCTTTTTACAAATGCTTCAAATAAGTAATTACACCACAGGTTTTTTATATTAACGGTCATAATTTTATCCCTTTTGTGTATTAAATCAAAGTGGAATTACTTATATTTAGATATCATGATGATGGCCTGATAGTATTGAAAATGATATTCCTTTTGGATATATCTAATTTTTTGTTACTTTTATAAATTATAACAATTTAACTAGGTTCTACTCTTTACAGTAAGTTTTTTTAAACTATGGTTAACAGTCAACCACAACCATAACTACTGCGTATTTTCTCTTTATATACTTATTATAACCATATTGCTTTATTATATTTAACAATTTTTAGTAATATAATACACTTTATAATAGCAGCATTTTATAAAAAAAATTTATCTTTGTAATATAAGTCAGTAATAAATTAAAAATAACTGTTCCCTTAAAGTAGTATTGATTTTATATTATATGATTCGAAAATAAGATTTTGCCAATAATAATTATTCGGTGGGAATCTGTTTCTATTTAGTTTTTATTCATTGTCGATTTTGAACATATTTTTATGTTATGGGCTGCTGCGGCTAGATTCCTCTTCTATTTATCTTTACAACTATTTAATCCAGTCTTCAGAGAGTTGACGCTTAAAAAAATCATACGAACGAAGCTGATATTGTTCAGAGAATATTAATTTTGGAACCCAAAAAAGATGCAAAAAGTTTAACCATTTTAGTCAACTCTTCAAGCCATCTTGATTTTTGTCGATAGGACAGTTGGATCAAAAGATATTGAATTTTTACCGTTGAGCTGTTCCAAATTTTATTGAACATTGATTTCACGCACGAAACTGACATTCAAAATCGACGGTTGCTTCAATCGTTGTTTCTGAACGAACGGTTGATTTCACACAAAAAGTAATAATTAAACTATTTTTGTTTGGAATTGTTCTCAGCTACATTGTTTATTTGAAACATTTTTTTCTACGGCTTACAGATTCCTGGTATAATTTGATTTTTTTGCGTTTTTACCTCCGACGAGGCAATTTTAATCAGCAAGCGGTATTTGTCATTCGTAAGTCAGCCTAAGTCAGTGGGTTTAGTTTTGTATAATAATACTTTTCAGATACCTCATAAGAAAAGGTTATTGGCGTCAAATCGGGTAGATCGTAGGTAGTCATTTCATCGATTCTCGCCTCGCTATCTCCACCGATTTGGAACTGTGTTGGTTGAGGTACTGCCGAACATGGATTTGGTAGTGGGGTGGTGCTCTCATCTTATTGAAAACCATCATATTCGCTGAAACTTGTGGGTTTCCTGGATCGGGATTACAAGTTGACCAATGTTGGCACTATATTATTTTAGAACAATGCTAAATAACTGTCGCCATTCAAATTTGCCATCTATGAAAAAGGGACCTATGGTCTGATCTTCAATAATTCCTGCCCACACGCTAACGTTCTCAGGGTATTGAGTATTGCCTTCTCTCATCCAGTGAGGATTTTTCTGGGCCAATAGCGGCAGTTTTGCCGATTAGCACGACCGTGAAGAGTAAAGGTGCACTCATCATGTTTTAATTGGATTACATTGCTGTCTAATTTGTTCACAAAAATACGTTTTCCTGTCAAAATCATCTTCCATGAGCTACTGAGTGTGTATAATTTTATAGGGATGCATTTTGTTTTTCTTGTAATATTCGAATAACCGACGAACTGCTAATAGCGAGTACTGGAATATCGACGAATATATATATATATATCCAGATCAGTTATAAAATATAAAAATTAAAATTAACCCGCCCAAAATTCTGGGTTGGTATTTACACCTTGTTGATCTGTCAAAAGTAATTTTGACCTCAAGGTTGGCTGTCTTTTTGTGCGGTTAGTTCGTTCCTGTTTCATCTAACGCCTCTTTCACGGCGACCATCCACAAGGCTTTGATCCGGTAACTTCATATTCATATTTTGGTAGAATTTTATTAATATTACTTATAATGCTACCTAAAGTTAAAATCAAAGTTTAATATCCATTAAATAGTTGGAGGTTATTTTATGATTTTCTTGGTTCTTATCTCACCTTATTAATAATAAATAACATTGAATTTATTTTGGACCACATGGTCAATTGCTGTGCTAAACTTTTTTTGTACAGTTCATATATGTTGTTAGATTGCTTAACTGTTTATACAAGATCAGCGTAACTATGTCCATTTTACTTAGTTTCATTCACATATTTGTTAATAACATTTGACTGCTACATATCTTTTTAAGGGTAACAATTAACATCGTTTCCATGATTGTGTGGCTTCTCATATTGTAATAATTTTTTAGAATGAAGTGATGATGCTTATCAAAACTCGAAAGCGAAACGTCTTCAAAATAGATAAAGTAGCCTATCAACTTTGTCTTTTATTTCTCCACCTAGAGACCGATATAAGAACCCACCACTCGTACTGAGTGATCCTTATATATATATATATATATTTATATATATATATAAATATATATAATATATACTATTAATATATATATATTATTAATATAATATCCATTACGGTTTATGGAGTGTTATTGATTTTTGGGGATACTTTGAGTACTCCATGGAATGATTTATTAAAGTAGGAATTAATGTTGTGTCCTCTCTCCTCAATCCTTTAGTCCTTGTCAGGGCGTAGTGACACCCTAAATATTATTAGTCTGCTGTCTCCATTGACTGCGATCTTGTGCCATATGGATCGGCTTCATGTAGGGATTTTCCCACCAAACTCTTCATTTGGTCCACCCATCGTATTGGAGATCTTCCTCTTGGTCTTCGGCCTTCTACCTTACCTTCTACTACCAATAGTTCCATGGTGCCCGTTCTTCTAGCTATGTGGCCGAAAGTAAGTTAGGTATGCTTGGTTTATTTTTTTTAGTAGCCTGTCTTTTATATGAAGCTCTTCCAGAATTGACAGGTTGGTTCTATGTTCTGTCCAGGACACGCGTAGAATTCTTCTATATACCCACATTTCGAAGGCTTCGATCTTACTCTATCGATTTTTTTGAGAGTCCATGTTTCAGCTGCATATGTAGCAAATGGGAAAAAATAAGGGCATTGACCAACCTAAGCTTAGTATTCCTTGTTATTGTTCGGTCTTTCCATATTTTAATTAATTTAGCAGTTGCGGTTCGGGCCATTCCTAGTCTACGTTTGATTTCTGAGGAACAATCACCATTGTTGGTTATCAGAGAGCCCAAGTATACAAATCTGTCGACTACTTCGAAAATCCCTATTTGGCGTATATGCGGTAGATTATTATTTGCTCTGTCTACAATCATTATTTTTGTTTTTCTGGTGTTGATTTGAAGCCCGAATTTCTTCACTTATTCGGCTTAGCCGTTCGATGATGGTAATTATTTCGACTTCATTCGCTGCTAGTATAAGTGTGTCATCTGCGTATCGCAGGTTAACGATTTTTCTGCCTCCTATAGTGATTCCTCCATCCCATTCATCTAGTACTTTTCTCATTATATATTCAGAATATATGTTGTACAATAATGGTGATAGTATGCAACCTTGTCTAGTTCCTTTCTCTGTTTTGAATGCATTTGAATATATTCCATGTACTTTAACTTTGGCTGAGTTTTATATTATACAGATTTCTTATTAGGTTAACTAGGTGGTTAGGCTACTCCCATATTTTCCATTATACTCCAGAGAGAATCCCATTTTACTGAATCAAAAGCCTTTGTGTAATCTACAAAACAGAGCAACATTGGTATGTTATGTTCTCTCGCTTTTTCTACTATCTGTCTGGTGTTGAGTATTTGCTCACGCGTTCCCTTTCCTGGTAATGTTGTGTAGTAGTTAATTAATGTAATTAAATATAATTTTAATAATGATCCAGTCTTAGGCATTGCAATTCCTCTGTCGTATTCAACGAGATTTAGGCAAACGGTAGATTTAGAATGCTCCCTCTTTGGCCTATTGTTTATTGTTTGGCATGTTAGTTCGTAAAATATCTACATGAAGATTTCCCTCCAAGAGAGAGTTTGTTCGTCCCTCGATGAAAACGCCGCATTTTTAATTAATTTTTACTGATTCTCGAGCTACTTTGTTCTGATTCAACTAAGATTTGACGTTGACAAATATGCGATATATTATATTTTCCGCCGTTTCTTCTTAAAATTATATTTCTTCAGTCGTTAAATAAACAAATGGCTGACTTTTCTGCTTTGTCTTAATTCTTGGATTGCTCCTGTTACATTTATGTTAACAATTAGTATTGAACCCTCGGGATTGCCCTTGCAACCCTTGGAATCGTCATGCTGAGTGAACCTGGATTGGAAAAATTAAAGGACATTCAACTGCATACACACCAGCGTTACTTCTATGAAACTAATCTAATTAAATGGGTTTTTAAGACTAAAAACAACGCACTCGGCGAATGTGAAGAAAATCATCATTATAGT